CCCGTATGAGAGCACCGGTAGTCCTGCAGACCCTTGTGTTGTCTATCGATATGATTATGAAGTCTAATGGGATTAGTGGTCGAGTACTCGCATTCAGGCCAATGGCACTTCTGGTCTAACACATTATGCCTCTTCTCGTGAATATATAAACTATTGCTATTAAAATAAGTTTTGTCACAACCGGGCCATTGGCACCGGTATGTAGTCTCACACGTGTGTTCATTCATGTGTGCTTTCATTGCAATATTTCTAGTGAATGTTCGCTCACATCCATACCATTCGCACGGGATTTGTAACGACTTGTCGTGAGTGCGGCGGTGAGCGTCCATTCGTAGATATGATATAGATTTTCCGCATACATCACATGTACAGCACTTTATATGTTCTCTATTGTGATCTGTCATAAATTTTTTGTATTTAGTTCTAAACGGACAGTCAGTCTGCGAGCATTCAATCCATGGTATGTCTGCAAACGCCTCGGGATGTGCTCTCAACTGGTGTTGTTTTAAATACAACTTTGCTTTAAACGTCTTATCGCAGCCATTGAGTGAACACTTGAAACTCGCATTTGAATGACTGATTTGATGTTGTTTTAGGCAATCCATAAGTCCGGTCTTGTAATCACATCCCGGATGTTCGCACTGGTAGTCAGTGCGGTGTTTACTCTTCACGTGTTGGCTTAACCTGAATTCGGTGCTGAACGTGGCCTCACACTCGTCCTCATCGCACCGATAGGTCTCACCTAAATGTATGCGTTTGTGTTGATTGAGTCCATAGTTGTCTCGGCATACCTTCGCACACACTTCGCACTCATAGGGATGTCCCAAATGACTACTTTTATGTCTATCGAGACCTTGTTTTTGGTTATACTTCTTTCCACAACCGATGAAATCGCAAACATAAGTGTCGTTAGTTTTCCTCCTCTTTGTCTGTCTTTGTGTGCAATCGGTGTCTGACTTGTCGTCCATTTCTTCATCACTCGACCCGTTATTATACTCTTCTGTTTCGCTG